CGTTTATATAGATAAGCCAGGCTGGTTATAACTGACCCTTGGCCCTACTACTTCGCACGCAATTATCATGGGGTTCTGACTGCTTCAACCAAAATCATGTGAATTCCAAAGTTCCTTCTAGCTTACTCTATTTCAATTTTTAATCGATAAAAATTATTCAGCCATTTCCATTGTCTCCTGATGACCCAGATTCAATGGGTACAACTTCTGCCTGAGATCAGATTTCCTCATCAGTAAACAAAATGCTCTGATTTAATTTCACTATTCAAATCTACTCCAATTTCACTAAAAAAAAAAAAAAAAAAATCTATCTATCTATCTATCTATGTATGTGTGCGCGCGCATTTCCCAGACTCTCTCTCTGTCACACTAGTGAACACATCTAGAACAACACATACACCGACATTCACATCTCCCATGATGATTGTAATTTCCTGTGATTTGCATTGAGCCATGGCATTGTCTAGCATACAGTAAAACTTTTCAATTTCTTCTTCTGTACTTTGTGTTAACAGTGAATATACAACTATGATGGATATATTAAGTCTTCCCTTTCTGTTTAACTACAAGAATTCTATCAGATAGTCCATGGTATCCCAAAATGCATTTCACTTTTCTTCATGTCTTTGTCTAATATAAGTCCTACTCCCACTTCATTTTTCTCTTTGTCTGCATATATGACACTGTGTTTGTCACTGACAAAATCCCAATTGTTTATCCATGTAGTTTGGCATACGCCTAAAATATTAACATTTAACCTATTCATTTCCTGCTTTATATTCTCTGACTGGCCACATTAATTTAGTGTTCTGACATTCTATGTCCATAAAACTATTTTTTGTTTGAAGTGAACATTTTCTAGATGATAATTTGGTGACATCTGTCATTCTTGTCAAACCCTTACCAGGCGAGGGATCAGTTCCAAGGAGTTTGATTCCCTTTATACTGTTGTTCTTTATAGTTTTGCTAACAGTCATGTGATAACAGTCAAGTGGCACCTGTTGCACATTTCTCTCCTAACCAAGCAAGGAGTTAATTCCAATAGAATTAACCCTCTTCATGCTATATTTTGTAATAATCTCACAAGTGATACTGGAGTGATTTCCTGTTGCCTACTCTAATGTGATTTCATTAAAACACCACCTCTAGTTAACTGGTTATTAACTTAGTATTTCCTCTCTTTGATAGGTCTTATTTTTTGTTGTACAGGATTGCTGACCATCTGACAAGATTTCAAACACACACGTTTCAACTTAAAGTTCCCAAAAATCTTTTTTTATGTTTTTTTTTTAATTTTTTTTTTTTTTTTTTTTAAATTCAAATTAACTTCTTACCTTGAGTTAATAGTGAGAGGATAAAAATAATTATCTCACGATTCAGATTCAAAGTCATCAAAACATTTTGTGGCAGGTAATCAGAAACTTGAATTTAAAAAATTTGTTTTCTATACATTTTTCTTTTTTTTTTTTTTTTTTTTTTAATTTCAAAGTAACTTCCTACCTTGACTCTCTCAGATTAATAGTGTGAGAGGAAAAATAAATAAAATCTCACACATAATTAAAAAAGAATTTACTGTGCCATATTTCTATCTGCAATTATCACAAAAAATATACCTAGCAATGAATGAATTCTACCAGATGATGAAAAACAATGATTGTGAGGCAAGTGAAATAATCTATTATTAACCATATCAAAAGCCAATCTTTTATAGATGATGCTGGTATATATATATAGTGAGATTGGAATAGTTTCTGGATAAACAAATGATGGATTCAAACAAGTACAACTCTCAATTTAGACCAATGGAAAGGAGCAATTGATGAAAATCATTTGGAATTACTAAAGAGAAAAAATATTTCCAGACTACATGTTTCATTGGTGACCAAGCAGCAAAAATTGTTATACCTTGGCTCAAAAGATTTCACTTGTCTTTATTAGATATTGTGCCTTCAGATTATTTGGGACATTGCAGAATTCTCTTAATGAAATAAAAAAAAAAAGTTTCTTGGAAGATTACAAAAGGAAAGGAACTGGTAACAGGTGTTTGTTATGAGGATGAAATTATAAAGGTGCCTGTAAGATGAGAAAAGACAGTAGAATAAATGGTAAATATTTTGTGCAGCAAAGTTAATCAAAAATAGTCTTCTATTATTACTGATTTGAACAAACGATTTACAGCCACCCATTATTTAAAGCATAGCTAAGAATTTTATGCTATTGATCTCTCACTTTTTTTTTTTTTTACTGTTAGTTCACCCAATACAAGGCCCACGAGCCGCTCAAGTTAGAGGGTTACGAGCGAGAGTGTTGTAAGGGTGGAAGAAGTAATACGTGCATATTACGAGAATGTGTAGAGTAGATAGATTCGCCTATCATCAGGTTCACACTCCTCTCCAGTTTTTTGAACAGGAGTAGAGGTTTATTCCTTGTTTCTTGTTTAGGATTGGGTTTCCAGTTCCTTCTAAGGTCTGCTTCAGTCTGTGTTCCTAATACTTGGTCTTTCATGCACTAATATAAGTTTACACAGTAACCCTCACTTTGAGTGGCTCTCGGGCCTTGTATTGCATAAATATTAGTAAAAAATAAAATTAAATTAAAAACTAATAGATACTGATTGACCCTGGATTTGAAGATTGTAGTTATCAGAGAAGCATCCCTGGGAGTTTGCTCCACAATGTAACAGTTCTGGGGAAGAAGCTATGGAACATACTACAAAGAAACATGAAGAAAAATGAAAATGGCATGGGTCATGGCTATGAAAGTCTGAGCTGGTAAAAGTAAAGAATGTAACTTGTCTGAACATCTGCTATATTAATAATGATAGTATAGTAAGAGGCTAGCAATGTTTCATCTGTGGGATAAGGATTGCAGGATGGAAACTAATTCATCACCCACAAGACCGCATAATCACTTTTGAACTTTAATGCTGGACAATGAGGACTGGGCAGAACCATCCCAGATATGGCAGCAATACTCTATTCTTAGTCTGATCTGACTTTTGTAAGGATAGAGCATGGCAGCAGGAATTAAGTATACAAGTATCTCCAATGATGACACAAATATATACATTCCACTTGAGGAATTTCTCTTTAAGGCATCAGTTAAACTGCTTCACTAAGATTGGAGATAGTTCTGAGCCAGGGATTTTATCTGAACCAGTAGTCTTCATAGTTGAGGCTTTTGATAAATCTGGAAACCTTGCAAGCCAACATAGATACACAAAGCTTGTGCTCCATGAAGTAGGTTGTCATCTGATTTAGACTTAAAAGCAAAGTTCTTGAAGATGTAATTCAACCTTTGTATAGTTGGACCATAAACCCCTTGTGGGGATAGAGAAATTGAGGTCTACTTTATATATATAGTTCAGCTTGATTTGATTCTTCTGCATGTTTTATTTCTTCTGTTTTTAGTATGGAGAGTTAGAGAAAAAAAAACACCTGAATTTGTCACCAGAAAACACTATGATAGTTGTACACATCATCATGGAATCAAGAGGCCCCACCAGAAACTGCTGCATGGTTCAATTCCCATTCGCAAAATGGCAGTACTGTAACCTCGATATTATGCACCTTAGGTATTACTCTAAAGCTTGGATCCCTGGCTATCAGAGAAGTGTTTACCTCCAGCACTTGAAGAGACAACCAATCCAGGTTTAGGAAGAAATTAAAAGCTTACACTCAAAGTGAATTCATATTTACCCAGGAATCAGGCAGGAGAACTTCAAGTACATGAGCGAGCTTGTCTTGGTGCCTTTAGGTCTCTGACTGACCCAAGGAGATCTGTTGCCTTAACTTCTGGACAGATGCAACATATCCACCAATCAAGATGAACAGAGATCCTCCGAGGAAGTACCGTACCTTAAAAGATTGTTGGGCCTCAAACTCACACCCAACCTCAAGTGGAACTCATACATACAATCTGTTGTTAAAGATGCAGGTAAAATGGTCTGTGCCCTGTACCATTCCAGTAAGTACCTGACTCCTGCTATCCAATCCAAATCAGTTCAAAAATGGAGTACTGTTGTCCTATTTAAGCAGGAGCTGCCAAGACCTCACTCTCCAGTCGTGATAGTTCAAAAACGTCTTCAAGCTCTTGTGGGTGATGAATTATTCCCCATCCTTAAACCCCTCTCCCACAGGTGGGATATGGCAAGCCTCTCGCTGCTGTACCTTCCATGGAAAGTGTTCTACATTCACTGGACCCTGCCATGATAAACCTTCACAGCAAGAACACACCATGCCACTTATATAATAGCAAACCACCCACATTCCCTCCATATTGCATCAGTAAAAAGTAAGTCTTCACTCAAGCAGCTTTTTCCTGCAAACCACTGCCCCTTTGGAATTGACTCCCAACAGGATGTTTCTCTGATCACTACAATCTTAACCTATTCAAGGGTAGGTTCAATCATTATTTCTCTCACCTATACACACAAATGGCCTTCTAACATAACCTCTACCTCTACCCACTGTTTAAAAAATAAAAAAAGTGAGGCCCAAGCACAGAGAAGGGTAGAAGTTACAAAGGCTACTCGGGGATGAGCTGACATATACTGAAGTTTGGACTGACTGAATCTAATTTGTTCCTTGGACCTTGTTTTTGCTATCATTACCAAGACAAAGACTCAGAATCAAAAAATGACTTTCAAAAGCAATTGTTAAAATCTTTTTTGCGCATTCATTTTGATGGCTATTAACATTGTAAAAGATAAATAACTACTAAAATAATTCCAGTAGTACTTGATATATCCTCAATTATCTTGACAATCTCCTAATAAATAAAATTTGTACATGTATAATAAATATTACTCAATAATATTCAGTAGCAATTTACCTATATTTTTTCCTTTTATATGTTTCCAATAATCCACATTTGCAACTTCCAAAATAAGCAGTACCTCACAAAACATGTAGATGTAATTTTAGTTTGCCTTAAAATTCAACATCAAATCTTTACTGCTTATGTATCTAAGTAATGCATTTGTTTTGCTTTCCTTTCAGAGTGTCCTCCATCATAACTGCTCAATCTTACCAAATGGCACTTTTGATCCTTCACTCATCAATTCAACTATCTGTGATTGGAAACCATTTGGTAAGTATATAATAAAAGTATATCTTCTTGGAATCGGAGATAAATGAATTCAACAAAAATATTGAAATATGCATTCTTGCTTGTATACCGGAAGTGAGACAACATTCTTGCAAATGAATTACTATTTGAAAATTATAAGTGTTTTAAAAAATATAGCAAAGGTTATTTGTTCTTCATTGTAACTTGAGGTATAAATTTAAGTTCCAATTTCATGTTGAACACACTTTGAAGTACTTCTGCAAAAGCACTTCATTTTAATTAATATTCTTTTTTATATATTAAAATATAGCTTTTGTTTTGACTCCATAATTTTGGATCCTTCATTCATTGCTTTGTAACTAACCTCACTTGATCTAATAATTTTTTATATGTAGGTACATCAATAAATCTATAACCTAATGATAAAAATATTTATTTTACACAAAGATTTGTTTTATTGTAAAACTCTTCCTTGTCATTTAATTCATTGGTGAATATTAATAATAGATTGAATATTAGAGTGAAAACATATTTATCAAAATCCAGCTGTTGGGCTATGGTTTTTTTTTCTATTGTTAATATTTTCATATGCACAAAATCTTTTAAAAAAATAATTGATGCACACAACTAAATATATCCTAAATCCAGAACTTTCCAAAATAAAGTCTGTTTGAATGTTTAAAAATGATTTCCTTTTTTTTTTTTTTTTTAATATTTACTGTGAAATTGTTAATTACATTTTGTCAGTCTTGATTAGGATAGGTCTTTTCTCTGCATAGATTTAAATTTATCTAGATAGCCTTTACATGAACCAACTTATGTGTACTCAGTCCAAAAAAGATTTAAACATTTAAATAAATGAACAGTAAATTCTGTCTATCCATCCAAGTGTCTGAGACCCTAAAACTCAGGCCACACTTATAGCTGCATTATACCTTTTTGGAATCAGGATGATCCTGGGATTGAAATTCTGCTGTTTTTGAACATCGAGCATTGGGGTTTGTCTGGATAAACAGTTAAAAATTCAAATTTTAAAATAACTGAAAAAAATTAGTGATTTAAAAGTTTTTAATTTATATTGAGTTTAAAGTAACACAAAAACATGATGTAAAAAATTTTTGTTTTAAATTCAGTTTAAAATATTTCCAAAACATTGTGAATTGAGAAAATCAATTTGATTTCCTCAAAATGCCAAGGAATCAAAGTTAAAGCGAGGGGTTTCATAACATGAGGTTTTGAAGTTCCACAGAGTTTTCCATGGAATGAATTGAGGAATTCAAAGTTATTTCTTCAAAATTATCATTGCTGTGTTCGAAGCTAGACTAGAGGTCCTTTTAGTTTTAGACTGGAGGTCCAATTAGTCTTATGAAAGAGCTAGCTTAAGAAACTGCACAGTGTGGCTTTTAAGCTAGTTTTGAATATTTTACAAACATGTTGTGCATCCTTCATGCAACTGTGCAACCTGACCTCCATCCTGGATATGACAATAAACTACATCCGACAGCAAGGCCTCTGATCAGGAGGTTTTGAGGAGCATGGAACCACCTCTTAATTGCTGGTGTTCCCTGGTCCACCCTGACCTAGGAAGGTAGCACCTGTTAGGGTTCCAGCTATGGGCAAATAGTTAACCTCTAAACTGGAGTCAAAACACTATTAAAGTGTAAAAATAGGTTTAATATCAGAAATACATTTTTTGTAAAAATTATTACCAGAAATACATTTTTGAAAAAAAAAAAAATATATTACCTGCAATAAAAATTGCCAACATTAAACAAACCATTGAGGTTGATATGCCATAAACCAAACCAAGCAACCTGATCTCACTGTACGTGTGTGAACTCACTCAGCACCAAAACTCTCTTAAGTCAGTTTGCAAATTGTGTGACCATTGCATTCACAGTGAATATTTATCAAGGTTTTATTACTTTAAACATTATTTTTCAGTGGATACCAATGTTTAAAATAAACGGAGCATCTAATCAAATACAGATGTCCACTAAAAATAATAAAAATATGTTGGATTAATAAATAAAAATCCATTATTTATTTAGAAATTACAATTGTTCATGTAAACTTTGGATGCTGAAACAAAAAAAAAAGTTCATAAAATTTTGGTAACAATGCTTCAAACTTAACCAGGAATCCATTAAAACTGGTTCATCTTCTGGCAGCAGAACACCTGAAAATGTTAAATGCATGTAAACTGCAATCAAAAGAAATTAGCAATTGACAATGCAAAAATTAAATTTGAAGATTCCAAGAACTGTCTAGAAAGCTTGTAATCATTTTGAATGTCTCAACTTACCATTCTTCAGGTCTGCCAGCTTTTCTTATAGTCCAATTTTGATTCTCTGTAACTTTTTGTTTTTCTCAATGCTAAAACTGTTGTTAAAAGGGAAGAGATTTAAGATTGTGGATGAGATTAAGGAGAATACTACAAAATGACTGATGGCTAAAAGAAGACTTCGAAAGCTTGTTTTGAAAATAACGTGAGGAGTAGGTACTTTTAAGAGAACTAACCTACCATTGCCCTAGGCAGATTGCTTTTTATTAAGTATTAAGAGCTTCATTATTCAAATTACCTAAACTATTTAGATTATTTCTTTTGAAGGGAAAAACTTTGAAATGACTGATCTTACCCTCTACCATCCATTGTCTTTTGTCATTAACTACATATCCAGGGAAATTTTAATTTGGACTCGTGCTTTATATTTTGAATTAGGACATTTTCATGCTATGATAAAATTAAAGTAATTTGTACAATGAAACTGCTTTCAAATAAAACCTATTGTACCCAAATAAACTATTCACTTTTTTTGCATGCCTCTCTAACTATATCATATAGTGTAGAATTTGTTTTCTCCAATCAGCTGTTGTAGACAACTTAGCGAATGCATTGTTTTTAAACCTTTTGAAATTGATGAAAATAATACAAACTATGCTTTGGTAATTTATAGTTTTAATGCATGGTTTCATTTTAATAAGAGCAACACAATAACAGCAATTTAAATGTCAGTAGAAATATAATAGCCATAAAAGAATAAAAAAGGAATTATTTTAAACTTTTAAAAATATTTGCTCCATTATGTTTTTTATTATTCAAATCATAGTTTACTTTCCAGTAAAGAAAAGGTGTATCTGTGGGTTTGTGCATGTATATGTATAGAGAACAAATAATGAAAAATATGTATCATTAGTGAATTGAAAAATGCATAAAATATTACTTGATTAGAAAAATAAGTATACAGGTAGTATTGTCTTATTAAATAAGTAAAAAGGTGAAAAGCAATTTTCCAATGTTCAAACTGTTTCAATAATTAACAATAATGTAATATTTATAATTATAAAGGCAAATACAAATAGTAATAATGTGTAAAGTTACTGAATTTACAAGTAAATGGTTGGTAAATAGGAACGAAATTATACTGTTTCTAAGTTTAGTGATAGATATACACAAATTATTTATCATTTGAAATAAAACTAATAGCTTTTGATTCTACTTTGACTTTTACTCTCAAGTATATTTTGTGTGCATAAGTATTGAACAATACTCATTACATTGATAATATTGATGTATTTTTAACTGAAGTTCTCTTTTCCAGTTTGTTATATTTAAAGATTTTTTTTTTTTTGTTGCAAAGTCTCACGAATTTTGTTCCATTCATTGATTTATTACAGATGGCACAAATGCTCAAGAACTTCTTGGAAGTTTAGACTATGCATTCCTGTTTAGTTACGCAATTAGCATGTTTATTAGGTAAGTCTGTCATGGGTTCTGTTCCGTTTTTCCTGAAAACATCAATTCTGTGTGTGTAATAAAGATGAATGAAAAAGTTTGCCTTTTCTAAAAATGAGAACATTTTAACATCTACAATCAAGATTGAGTAACCCATATATAATTGGATCTTCCTCTTCTATAAAACAGGACTCATAAAAGGGAACTAACTTTTAAACTTTAATCTCGCTTAATCTTACAATAACTGGGCTTTTAAGTTATCAGTTGAATATTGACTTCTATAATTGAATCAGTTTATTTGTATTGTCACTTAATATATTTATTTGAATGCAAACATTCTCAAGCTGAAAATATGACACTGTAAGCCCTTACAAAACTAAAGATAAAAAGTTCTTTCACATGTAGTAGATTATCTAAAACTGTTTCATCCTGGATATGATAATAAACTACAACTGACAACAAGGCTCCTGATTGGGAGATTGGCAGTTTTGAAGAGTGTGAAACCACCTCTTAACTGCTGTAGTTTCCAGATATACCCTGACTTGCATTGGTAGCACCTGTTAGGGTCCCAGCTATGAGCAAATAGTGGACCTCTAAGCAACAAATCAACAGTACATTTTTATAATAAAATGACCAACAATATATTTTTATAGCAAAATGATAATGTAGCACTATGAAAGTACATTTTTATAGTAAAATTACTAATGATACATTTTATGATCTACAAACTATATATCTAAAAAAAAACCCAAAAAAACATACCTTTGAAAATATAGAATTATGTACAAAATATATGTAATTGAAAACGTAAAATTACATGCAAAATATTTAGATTTTGGCATTAAATAACCTGCAGAGGATGATATGCCGATAAACAAAAGCAACCAACCAATAATACCTATTTATAATAAAATTACCAATAATACATACATTTTATCTGTAGTTGAAGGTATATAGTTGTGTTCAAAATATTTAGTTGAAGCCATAAAATTGTGTTCAAAATGCTTACATTTAAGCATTAAATAACCCATAGAGATTGATACCCCACCAAATGAAATCAACCAATAAAAACAACTTTCATGACATTAATCCATCCAGGATATGATGATAAACTATATCCATGTCCTGGGTAAGATGATAAACTACATCCAACAGCAAAGCCTTTGATCAGGAGGTTTTGAGGAGCGTGGAACCACCTCTTAATTGCTGGTGTTCCCAGGTTCACCCTGAACCAGGAAGGTAGCACTTGTTAGGGTGCCAGCTATGGGCAAATAGTTAACCCCCAAACTGGGGTTAAAACACTAAGTGTAAAAATAGGTTTAATACCAGAAATACTTTGTAAAAAAAATTATTATCAGCAATACATTATTACCCAAAAAAATTACCAGCTATACATTTTTGGAAAAAAAAATATTACCTGAAATAGATTTTTTGAAGAAAAAAATATTACCAGTAATACATTTTTGAAAAAAATTATTACCAGCAATAAAATTTGTCGGCATTAAATAACCCATTGCAGTTGATATGCCATAAAACAAACCAAACCAATGACATTAATCCACATAATATCCTACAATTTCTTAAATCAAACTGTATTCCAAAATATAACTTCAACAAAACTACAACATAAAACACAGATATCACCACCTCTAGTAATCATGTCTACATAAAAGTGTATATGCACAAAAGCTTAGTATCATCTACCATGTATTCAATTGTGAAAGCAGAATAACAGATTTTTACTACTTCAAAGCTCCCAAGAAAATTAAATTTCAGCATTAAATGACTCATAAGGAGTTGATATGCCATTAAACAAATAAATCATTCTAAACCTGTTACCTTCAGCTTGTTTGTTTCATTGCATAAAGCATTTCTTGTCTGGTTAGCAGTTCTTGTAAGATATTGAAAAATTCCTCAAAGAATTCATAGAATCAAACAGCAGGATTTTCTTTTAAGCTGAAAAGTGGCATAATGTCATCAAAAAGTAGTTTAATAATATTGATAGGCATTAATAATGTCAAAAATATTGGATTGATTTTTTTTTTTTTTTGTTAAGGCTTATCAACCTTTTGTAGAAAATATTTTTAGATTGTAAAATTTTTTTAGAGATAATAATGATTTACTGGTACAAGTCCTACTAATTAACCCATAGCTAGGAGGAGAAGAGGTGAATTCATACCTTTCCCAAGTGTATGTAAGTGAATATAACAAACCTAATTGGAACTTGGCTGTCTGATTTCAAGTGTCAAGCTATTATCCATTACTCCACCCACACATCCAAGCTTACTGCACTTGGTATTCCCAAGTAGTCACTCATCTAGGTACTGACCAGACTTGTCATTGCTTAACTTCAGTGATCATACAAGAACCGATGTTTCAACTTGATTTGGGCATAAGCAACTTTGTCAAAAATAAAATGCTTAAGAAAACTTTGCATCAAACTAATAAATTGTATGTTACTATGTTATATTTGTTCATATACATAAACGCTGCTTTTTACCATGCGAGCATATGATCTATATAAATATTGATTCCTTACAAATCTCTCAATAATAAATAAATAATAAATCATCTTAACCAAAATTTCCTGATTTAAAAAAAAAAAAATGAACAAATTCTAATTTTAAAAACAAGAAAAAAAAATATTCTGAAAAATATACTAAAACAGGTAAAGAAAGAGGACTTGGAGAACTTGATACTCACAGGATGTATTGAAGACAAGAGGTGTGCAAGGAAACATCAAGTAACCTCCCTAATAAACTTGTGTAAATAGATGCAGAACAGAGACTTGAATGGATAGTAAAGGGACAAACATTGATTAGAGTTATGATTGCACACATTCTAAAGAGACATGACATAAAAGATCACTTCAGATATGAACTAGAACATGCTTGCCCTATTTAACAACTATATAAAAATTAGTCAAATATTAAAGAAGCTTAAAATTTATGAAACAACACATCTGAATGAAATGCTCGTAAAAGGAATAATTAACAAAGCATATTAGTATATACATTTTCATATTTTAAGTACATATAAAGAATTTTAAAACTCTTCTTAAAATAATCTTTTTTAATTATCGATATGAAAACTTTCTGTTAAACACTTGTTATTATTTCTGACCTTATTTAAATAGTAGTTAATTCTCCTTTAAACTTTTAGTGGCCATGTTGCCGAACGGATGAATTTGCGGTATTTCCTCAGTGGAGGAATGCTGCTGAGTGGAATTTTCACAGCTGCGTTTGGACTTGGCAAAATTTTTAACATCCACAACATTATTTTTTACATTCTCATTCAGGTTTGTAGTTTTCTCTTTACTCTCATAATTTCCGGTTTGTTGTTTGTTTTTTTTCTCTACCCACCCCATATATGATGTATTGAACAAAATAATCTTATTCTTAGATATCATCATTTTTTTCTTTTTTATCTAATTGGGACAGGTATCTGCTAAAACTCTAGCTCATTAAGTACAAAACGCATAGGGATAGTTCAAGCAAATAAGTGGAAAGGCAGAAAATGTGCAATCTGCTTTTCATTCAGAATTCTTTTATAGGCATTTTATATCCATTTATAATTTTCATTGACATTTTCTCCAAAATCAGTTATAGAAGGGCTCTAATATCTGCAGATCTTCACTGTCTTTGATCATTTTTTTTTTTAATGTTAAACACAAAAGTGTATCATTTCTTAAAATTAAGAAAATTTGTAACTATCAAGACTTTAAAGTGAACTAATAATTACAAAGGTTCAATAACATAAACTGAGAAAAAGAATTTGAATTATTTTCTTTGTTGATTAAGTTGATGTGAAGACTTGTAAATTAAATTTATTAGGTAATTTTCTTTTTTCTTTTTGTTATAGAAATAAATCCAATTTTAATATACAATATATAGAAAATGCAAGCTATGTGGTTGTGCGTTACGAGTGGTCAATAATAATGAATATAATAATGATACATCAATGCTGTCATAGGTTGCCACAGCCAAGATTATTGTTATTGTGAACTCCGTGATCTAGTTTAGTGTTTCTCAACCATTTTTACTTCAGGGTGCACTTGTAGAATAACTAAAACTCTAGGGCACACTTTAAATTTTAATAAGGAAATATTGTTAAATTTGAAATTTAGCATCCACTTTAAAATATGACTTGACTTAGAGATGGAAGCCATATGATTGGTGTCTTTAGCTTTTTAAAAAATAAAGATTTTTTTAAAATATAAAAATAATTTGTAAATTACTCTTCTGTTAATTTGGGGTGCATCTGGTCGCCTTTCAGAGCACATTAGTGTGTCTGGGAGCACTGGTTAAGAAACACTGATCTAGTTGATGGCTGCATAGTATGTGCTATGCCATATGGTTTTGAATTCAGTTATCCTTCTCCTAGACTGGTTGCCAATCACAGCTAGAGACCCCAATCTGTTATGGCAAACATGTGTCCGTACAGACACAAGTGTCCCTGGATTGCATGCAGACATGGTTGTCAAAACCAATTACATTCGGTTTTTCCTCATTAGCAGTAGTGGGCAGTTGGTAAGACTCAGTGTCTTTTGAAATTGATCCTGTGGACATTTTGTTCCTAAAGTTGCTGTGCTTTCTGAGGCAGTGTCATTGTTACTTCCCATCTCTTTCCTTTCTCTGCCTATTACCCCTATATGTTTTAGGAGAGCAATTGGTTAAGTTTTTCCCTGAACCTCAATGCACCCTTTGTGAGGAAAGACATGACTTACCTCAGAATTCGAAACGAGTGCGAACATGTCTTGCCTGCAAAGTAATGACAAAAAGAAATATGGCCGCTATTGAAGACACAATTTATGCACACATATCTCATCCAAAACGAGACGATATTTGCACACTTGCAAATTTCGGCTGTCTTGGAATAGCATAAAAAGTGGGGTGCCAGCAGCACCAAGTGTCAGGGAGTTATTCGTTGGACTGCGTGTAATAGAGTTGGATGTACGGATTGACAGACGGACAAAAAGGAAGTCGATGTAGGCATGCCTGAGTTGGTGTCTGTTTCACAATTGCCCAGTGTAATGGCTGAGAAAGGGAGTCACACAATCCATTTCCTTGAGGCAGCTGAAGGAGAAGAAAAAATAGCTGGCCTGCTGGTGAGCAACACACTGCACTTTTTGATCCCCCCCTCCCCATCATCATTTTTTTTTTCTCCGACACCCTTGCTGTATTTTACAACACTGTCCTGCTATTTAATCTATAGCTGGGGGGAGAAGAGATGGATTCATGCTTTTATCAAGGGTATTTATGTGAAAGTGGATGAAATTAACTGTAATTCAAATTCAGCTTGCAGATTTCTTATTCTAAGGAGCTAACCATTATACCACCTGCATATCCATTAACTACTGAAAATATTAGTTATCCCCACAAAGCATGAATAAGATTTTAAATATTTGAAGTTTTTATTATAATAAAAGATATTTTCTGATGCTAATTTATTTTTCAGATAATCTCTGGTGTTTTCCAAGCCACTGGCTGGCCAAGTGTTGTAACCTGTATGGGGAATTGGCATGGCAAAGGAAAGTAAGTATAACCAAATGTCAACCCTTTGCAACTTTTTAATATCTTGACAGAATTTTTAGAGATTTTGAAACCATCAAGTATATATATTTTTATTACATTTAGATACTAATTATAAAAATAATGACTGAATTAGCAAAATAGGATTGGTTTTAAAACTTTAAGTTATGGACATACAAAATGATTATGCTTTTATTGGATTATCATTGAAAAAATGGTTTTTATCACTGCAAATAGAATTGAAATGAAAGTTGATTTTAAGTTAACATTTAAGTGGACATTTAAAAGAAAACAATTTACTGTTAAAATGAATATAACTGGTTATAAATTTAAAATTACCTATGTCTGATTTATATCTGAAGATAATCTTGTGCAATATCATATTCTTGGATTTGTTATAGATCAAATAGAATGAATTATTTGATTTTTTTTTTCTTTAAATACTGTCCCCAAATTAGGAATAATTAATTTAAAATTATTAGGAATTCGCCTTTCAAATATTTTCTCTAAATGAATCTTTACATATTTTCATGTTAAATTACAAAATTATTTTACATTATTCATTTATGTTTTTCTTATTTTTTTTTTTTTTTTTTTTTTTTTTTTATATTTCAGCCGTGGCCTGATAATGGGTTTCTGGAACTCTCACACTTCTGTTGGCAATATCCTTGGATCTGTGGTTGCAGGAGAATTTGTGGATAGTAATTGGGGCCTGTCATTTATAGTTCCTGGCTTAATCATTTTCATTTTGGGAATTTTTGTTTTCTTTTTCTTAGTTCCAAGTAAGAAATTACACTTAATAACTACTTTTTTAAAATTATTTGGAGCTTAAAATATAACATTTTTTCATTTGCTCTCTGCCTCTTAAGATTAATCTATGAGGTCTGATCACAAAGTATTGGAACTGTTGCTAAGTAACTGTCATGCATATACATTAAGTTATAATGTTCTTGCTCACTTCCATTGTTTATAGCAATGCTTGGAAGGAAAGTGTGTAGAGTGTGGTCAACTCACCACACCACAGAGGTTCCATCAGTGACCATGGCTTGTGAAGCAGTTTTTTGTCAATAACATTCCCCAGATCAGACAACCACAATGTTCCCCAGATCTTGCTCATTGTGACTTTTTCCTCTTCAAAAATCAAATCCCACTTGAAAGAAACAAGATCTCAAGACACTGAAGAAATCCAAGAGAAGTTGATGAGGCAGCTACTTGCTATCCCAAAACAGGAACATTACAGGAATGCTTCCCTCAATGGAAACAATGCTGGATAAAGTGTGTGACTTCAGAAGGGAGCTACTTCAAAGTAGTTTAAATACCAAATTAATATATGTTGTAGTTTTCTTTTTATAGCACAAGTCCCAATAGATTTTGATCAGACCTTGTATACCAAGAACAGCTCATGGAGATCCTGTGAATTCATTGCTTTTATTAATTAACTCGCTTAAAAGCTGCCCTATCAGGCAGCATTTAAGCTAGCTCCTGTGGAGGGCTCTTGATTGGGCCTTCATCACAATAGGTAGGGAGGAGTGGATGTGATAGGCAGCAATAAACTACAGAGCTCAAAACTTATCATTGCATTAAAGTATTGCATTAATATTTAAGCTAACCTTTTAAAAGTTCAAAGATAATTCTTATGCTGCCACTTAATTTAAAAACAATTTGATGTACATAGGTCCTTACTTTCCATACAGACAATTATTTTTATTTTATGGGTGACTTTTGCAATTAATTTTGATTATTCCCAAATTTATTTCCAAGTTATAAAAATTGTTATTGTATTAAAAAAATTGCCCAGCTGATCCAAAACATGACACACATGGCCTGAATATTACGTTAAAAGCATGAAACACTATCACTGCTTGGAGAAGAAATTTATCCCTTGTTTCTTGTTTAGGAATTGGCTTCCAGTTAATTATAAAATATCTCCTTTCTCTTTCACTCCCAGCAGCCTCTTGCATTTTAGTGACATTATCACCTTGCTTGGGGTGAATAGATTAAAAAAAAAAAAAAAAAAAAAAGAATTATGTTATCTTCTTGCAAAAACAAAAAAGAATTACAGTACAAAGAGGAAAACTTACCTGAGTGCTTGAGTGTAATAATACAGTACAAAATCTTATTTTCTAGATGTTTCATCAAAGATTAAAATATTCAAACTTTCTTAAAAACTGAATTAGTCTAGAAGTTTACTGATGAGGCATCATTAGAAATTATTACGTAGTCTGATTTCTCATATCCCATTGTATTTTAAAATAAAGGAAGAATTATTCCTCCTACTTTATATTATTTTTATTTATAAAATTCATATTGCCAAATTTATTTCATTTCTGACTAGTCTATTAACTGGCAGACATGTTTTGCTAAGTATTTTTGTAACCCAGTCTCTGCTATTATATCAGATCACCTGATGTTTTTCTTTGTGTCTGTATGGGAGAATAATAACTGAAATAATAACAGCATGGTATTAATACAGTTTGGTGAAATGTAATTACAGAAAATATATTTATAAACTTGCATATTGGCTTACATTTTAATTTTTGTCTTGTTTATGCATTGTCAAAAGTATGCCAGTGTTGCTGTAATTAAACAAAATTTGACCTGTATCTCACAATTCTAACACATGCTGCACCAGCTGCTCTGTTATAGATTTATATTTCAATATTGAGCACTCTTCCCACATAAATATCACAAATCGATGTGTGTGTGTGACACTTTTCAATTTTTTATACATAAAATAAAACTGATAAACACTTTACCTCATTACTATATATTGGACTCTTCTAAATGAGAAATAAAGATTGTTATTTTAAGCCTGACAAATAAAATTTTGTTAACATACCCTGAAGTTCTCACTTGCATTATTAACTGGACAAACCACCCTATGTTGTTTCTATTCTTATTTGCATTGGTGTGCACAAAAACTGAAAAACCCAATGCAAGTTCACAAAGAAAATGAAATGTGAAATTAACACCACATTAAGCAATGAAAATGTGAATCCTGTTTCCAATATATTTGGTTGTTCATTCAGGGATTCACATGCTTAATCTTGTCAGATAGGGAGGTGACACTTTGGATTACTTTTGCTACTTCTGTCATTACAGACTAAAGCTTCAGTTCTTCTTTTGGCCAATGAAGACTCTTTCTTAGCACTCTTCCTTAGCACTCTTCTGTACATCATGATGCACAGGTTGCCCCCAGATGACTTTGAAACTACTCTCTAATGGGCTGTCCAGAACTCCTCTTTATTAGAATAAAGACTGTGACTCTGCTTATATAATCATCTGAACAAAACTTCTTAACTTCCAACTAGGTTTCACTTCATTCAAGTTTTTATTTCCTTTTGGGCAGTGGGTAGCCACTTTGAAAATCTTACTTTTAAACTTTATTGCTGGCCATGAAACACCAAACATTTCTCAGAGATAATCAAAGAACTCACTTCATGTCTGTTCTAATGATGGCTGGGTTACATTGTGTCACAACTTATTTACATTTTAAATTTGTTTTGTTTGTAAATAAATATTTTTGTAATGACATTGTACTTTTAAGATCGTAAAAACTCAAATATTACCATAATTTTTTATGGCACGGGTAACCATGTATGTGATGTTGGGTGGATAGATGGGTTAATAATTTCCAGTTTTAACTGAATTATTTTACTATCAGATAGTGAAATAATAGACAAACTGAGCAACTCTTTTTAATTTCATGTGATGTGCACTTAGTAAGTATGGTGGAGTAATGGATAGCAGCTTGAATTTAGAAATTGGAGAACCAAGTTCAAATTCCAGTTGAATCCATTACATTCATTTACATGCTAATACCCTTGGAAAAGGTATGAATCCTCTACATCTCTGCCAAGCTATGGTTAAATAGCAGGACAGACTGGGTTCTAAAGCCTTGGATGGCAACTGGTCTACCACAGAAAGAAATGGCAACCTATTGCGGGAGAAAAAACTATCGAACGATACATGATCGTCTAAGCATGTAGCATGCATGTCACATAACTGACTGACTGAAGTATATGTGGATACTTAAATTACTTGTATTGATTTTGATTGTCATGATTGTAAAAATATTAGTTTATGCTAATATATTTGTTACTTTTTTTCCAGACAGTCAAGATATTTGCATTTACAAATAATATTTTAATTGGTTTTTCCTCCACTAATAATGCATCTTTTTTTTTTCTTTTTGTAATTTCAGATCCAGAAGATGTTGGTTGCTCACTTCCTGATCAAGAACCT